CCCCAAAACCCCAAAACCCCTTGCATTATGATTTAAGGTATTAATGTAGACAGTATGTAAATTTATAATAAAAAATATGATAAAACTATGGGATATTATGCTTAAAATAAATATTATACTATTAGTGATAAGTTCTAGATAAGGTCTTTCGGCAGGTACTCTATCAGGATCATTTTAATGTTTTAAAGACTAATTTCCAGCATACATCTCGCTTCGAGCAAATACTGAATTAAACGTTATAAGTATTTCTTAAGATAATTTTGTGTACGCAGCAGGCTTTACTCACGATTAAACTTTTCCTGGTTCAAATACTCAAGAAACTTTAATATTTGCTAAAATTTCCTTTACAGGGTGAGTAGAATGGGCGAATTATGTTTAAAATACACCAGCTGATCCAAAAGCGATTTTCAATCAAAATGATTAACATTATTTACTTTTTACTGATGGAGAAAGCACATATATATTAAAGTATGGCAATCAGGGAGTTTTAAATAAGTTTATTAAGATAAATAACCTTTCTACATCCTAAAATCTCAAGTAATTTTCATAAAATTCTTTTTTCGTTGATGAAACAGGAGTAATTTACATTGTATACACTAAAATAAAAGGGGCAGGAAATTCAAAATATTAAGAATTAGCTTTTTGTAAAATTTTAGAATGAAGTGGAGGTTCATTGGATTATTATGATTACACGTATTTAACAACTAACTCTAAGAATTCTAGAGCTCACTCCACATCCTATTTAAAAGTTAACGATAGATTTTTTATTTAAGGAGAATTTGATATTAATCCAGATCTATCTTTAACCACTAGAGAAATTTTACTTTTATAGGTCGGCTATGATGGATCTATAAAAAATCCTGAATCAAATTATTTGAGAAATTTCCGTGAAAATTATGACTATAAAGTTGACCAATATGATATATAGTGGAATTCAAGACCCATTTTTTATTAGTTACTAATACTTATAAAAGCAAACACTAAACCTGAGGTTCCAAAATATTTGATAATGAATGTCTAAAAAGATAACTATTTAGCCTTTGAATATCGCAATGAAGACGCCAAATTTTATAATTCACTGATTCTAAAAGATGGAAACAATGCAATTGGAATGATGAAAATTATTGATTAATATTACTTCTTTCAGTTTGATTTCAAAACTGGGTAATGCAAGTTAACTTCTTTTAATGAATATGATTTTAAAGAAGTTAAAATGATATAATACAATAATAAACCTGCATTTCTTTCAGATTTGGTAAAATTATAAGTATTCTCCTCAGGATATGCTGTAAAGGACTATGAGTTTCATTCAACCGATATTACTAAATCTTTTATTCGCTCTGGCTTTATCTTTGAGCATACTCAAACAAATCAAAATTGTTATGAATCTTTTGCAACTTAGAATACTTTGTCCATAATCGAGACTACTAAGATTGGATAATTATAGTTGGAAGGAGATTTAGCCAGTAAGCTAGCTCATTCTAAATGATAATACAATTTTGATGCTTTACAACTTCCATAAATTGCTAGTCTGTTTCAGCCTAACTTATTTATTCAAACATAATGGGCATGTACACCCCCAAACGTTTTAGTAATTCCCTAAATTGACACTCAAGATTTAATATTTGATAGTAAATCGGGACTTGCTACTTTGAGAATAGACAATTTTTAATTAGATTCTTCAATTTGTTAAATTGACAAGTTGAATAATAATAAATGTGAAATAATCTACAATGGATAACAGTCAACAAACCAAATTACTTTATTAAACTAGATGATTGATCCACTTGAAAAGGAGTTTTATTTATTGACATTTTAAAAAAATTCAGATTTTGAAGGAACAATAAAGATCTATTGTAGCGTTGAAGTTGATCCATTCTAAGATACAAATTTTATAAAAGGGCTTTTATAATACGAGTTTTATCTTCAACTTTCTAATAAAATAATATTAGAGTGCTAGAATGAAGATGAAATTTTAGCATAAATAGATAAAAAAGCTCCTTTATATGACACTTATTTAGTAGGTGATCCAGCGGTAATAATAAACTAAGATGCTATATTCAAATAATGAGAATCTAGTTCTTGTGGGTATTATGTCATAGTACTTATTGAAAGGAGTCACAAAGATGTAATTAGATTTGAATCCGAATCGAAAAATTTACATATATATACAACTAACACAGAGAAAATATCAAATTAAGGAGTAGAAATTACTTTCAGGTTTTCAAATAGCACAGCAAAACTATATGAAATAAAAGCATTTGTTCTTATAATTGGATGCAAACTCTCTGAATTAAAGCGCATTAACCCTGGATAATTCGTATACATTCTTGGTTCAGTTAAAAATAATGAGATATAGATATAAAAATGGATGAGAGATTGTATATATTTCAGTATGAAAATCTAGCTAATTACAGACAATGGTGCAAAGTAGGAGATTCCTAAATTTATTTAAACAACTTAATCAGTTTCTAGTAAAATTATGAAGATCTTTTCTAACAATATTACTCATTTGGGGAATTATGTCATCGAGATAGAGGGCAAGTTGTAGAATTTTCCAGCTTAATATGAGTATTTTAATATTTCGGTGATTTTAAATTGTTAAATAAGACCATCAAAAATTGATTCACCCATCAACTATGTAATAGGGAAAAAGAAACTATTGTCAATACTGCCATTTCAAACAGATTATTGCCTAAGTTAATGGATTATTTATAGTTTAATATCTGAGGATGGAGGAATGCCCCCAGACTTTGTTTAATTTGGAGATTTAAGATTATTCATTTTTTCAGATAAATTGGATTTAGACTGATCTTATTCCTTAGCTATTGTAGGATATCTTCCTCTTGATAATATGTAGGCTTAAGTTTAGTTCAAAATTTAAGTAGAAATAACTGAAAAATACATGCCAATAATTGATGAAACTACTAAAAATGAGACAATTATTGACGAAAATTATTATAAATTGAAGGCAGTGATTACATCAATAGGCTAAACTGGTTAAGTTAAAGTTTAATTTATACCTTTTATTAGATATCTCCTACCAAATATAACTGATAATAATGTTAGCTTTAAGTTGAATATATCAAGATTTAATGAAAAAGAGGATAAAACTGAATATCTTTAAGAAAATTTATTCAACTGGACCATTTAGGAACTTAATTCTGAAAGAATGCTATTATAAGTAGGTTTTTCAAAAGAAGTAGAAATATCTTATGGAGTAAGAATTTAATTTTTTAATTACTATAGGAAAGTCATAATCTATAATTATTTGTTTAATAAGTAGAATTAAAAAACCCAAAAGATTTTCCAAGGATATTATCTAAATGCTTTTCGAATAAAATGAGAATACCAAGGTAGCTTAAGCAAGATAGTAAGTAATCTTTACTTTTGTTGATGCTAAATTAATTCAATAGTCTATGGAGACTTCATTAGTGGATATGGGTAATTGACAGGAATAACTCTAAAAACTCTTACTGCTTCTAATTTTTTCCTGAACCTCTTCTTGTAAATATTTAACCAGTAATCATCTTACTTTCTAGATCAACATCCTTACAATATCTTTGGGGAATGATTAATTAGATATAGATTATTACTCATATTCCATTAAATCAGGTAGATATGCCAGCTAATGCTAAAACACTATTCGGAATAATTATTGATATTTGCAATTTTAACATACTTCCAACAGGTGAAGTAATTGACTCAATATTTTAGTTTGAAGAATAAACACCTCTTAATTAAAATTTCTAAGAGATGGATATCTTTTGAAATCTTACAATATTATTTTGTATTGCATAACTAATTTCTAAGGTACAATAGCAAACTGGCAATACAAAACCTTCAATCTATCTTTCTATTGATAATATGCTATTTTTTTATTACTGTGATGCTTTTGATCCTGAAATTATTAGCGAGAAATATAAATATGTAATAAAAGCCCTATTAAAGGATAATTTTAGATTTCGATAAATTTACTCCTATCTTTCGAAGAAATTGCTTTTTAATTCTTATATAAGATTTTATATTGAGTGCTATTTTGAAATTTTCTTGTGCTCCCTTATCAACACTAATGCTGTATCAATTTATTTTTATTGTAAAATATATAGTAAGCACCTAAAAGATTTAATGATGGATTTTCAATGATAATTTCTAGTCTTTTTATTTTGATATCTATCTGGTTTATTAGTTTCAATTTTACATTTTTAATAATCGAAGATAAAAATTATGAAAATCCTTAGCTAAAACAATAGTTTGGATCACTCTATTAGGAATTTAAAACAGATAAGTGGACGCAAAGATCATATCATTTTTTATTTCTAATTAGAAGAACTATCTTGAGTTTGCTATTTTTATATGTGGAAACAGGCTACCTCTAAATTTCAGTTAATATTATTCTATCAATGTTTATGACAATTTACTTGATTGATGTAAGACCTTATTAAGATAGGACTTAAAATAAAGTTGAAATTATTAATGAAATAGGAATACTCTAGATAACTTATTATCAACTTTTATTCATTGATGGCTTATAAAATAAAAATGCTGATGCAGAGTATAATATTGGATATTTAATAGTTTTCAATACTATTGTCATTTTATTTATTAACACTGGCTTATCTTTATTCTTTACTTTTTAGCCATTGATTAGATTATTATAAAATCTAATTAAAAACTTCAATGAAAAGCATTAAAAATCAAGAATATCCAGCTATTAAAAAGATAAGATTGTTTAAGCAAAATTGAAGAATAAAATTCAATTTAAAAACAAAAAAAAATTTAAGAAAATTAAAAATCCTAAGAAATAAAAACAGGTGAATCAATAGGCTAATAAATAAAATCAAGATAAACTCGATTTCGATATCTTTCTAGCTTATAAATTTAATAATCATAGACAACAGAAGTTTTAATAAATCGGGCAAAGATTTTCTTTATTTGAAGAAAATAAGATAATAGGTTTAAAGTAGCCAAAAAACAATGAAACTATTTTCAATAGACATTTGTTTGTTGAATATTAGCAAAAGTTGTAAAATGAAAATCGTCAAAATATAATTAGCAAAAACTAGACATTTACAAATGAATCTATGGCAACCTAAAACAATTAAAGCTTCGGTTCATTATCAGATCACTTTTAACAAAATTCCAAAAACTTAGGCGAGAACACTTTTGTCCGTAATTAAGAATTAGAGTAATTCGATTAAATCATAAATTAACATAAGAGTTTTGATTAAAAAGTAAAAAATAAAGAGAGATTACATTATAATGGCTAAAAGAATCAGAATTTATGATTGATATGATAATATTTTGCTTTCTTAAGAAATTTTTATTATTTTGATTGATGGGGTTTTGGGGTTTTGGGG